TGTATGATGATCGCTTTCGGTCCTCCATTGGCAGTTTTCTTGTTCATCGTAGTTTCTGATTCACTTCGCATTATTCTCTTCGTTGGAGGGTATGCATTTTTTTCAACTTTATGACAGGTGGAAGAACATTTACGACGTAGTCTATGACATGTAATGTTTACCATATGTCTTCCACATCGTCATACATTCTATTTCATTGTTAACCAGTTAAATTTCTTTCGTAATGGACTCTGAGTAGTCTTTCGCACATTGACTGTAGTCTGCGATGATGATACCGTTCAGCTATTGGATATTCAGCAGATCTGCTTCACTAGCTGTCTCATGCGTGTTTGATAGTTTGCCGCCTGGAACTGCTGACGAGAGGGAGAGTCGATCTGTGATGCAGCAGGCGTTGTGAGGCCACTGTGAGTAGATTCTTGATCGTAACCTCTTCTGATAATCACGCAAGGCTACAAAGACCCAGCCGGAGACTAAGGTGCCATGATAGTTCGGTAGCTACGGTTTTAGTTTGAAGGAAATCGTGTTATTTTGTAATTAGAATCCGCTTATGATATCCAGTAGAAGCTTCAAACATCTGTAGCTCCTTTCATGAAATCAGACTGGTCAGTTCAAACTGTTTCTTTAAGCTCGACTTTAGTTACTACTTTCAAGAAGTTTTACACATTTTATCTGTACTTTCACCGTCAAACGTAGATATATTCATGATGTCGCCATAAGCAAGAAAGAAAAAGACCACGAGCATGTACAATTTTTTGTGATGACCTAAGAACATATATTCGAGACAGTGACTCAAAGGGATTTTGAAGAGTGGATTTTGACTTTTAAATCTTCATTATAGAGCATTCTTTTGGCTGCTGTCTGTGCTGGTCACGTCTTTGCTGTGGTACGTTATCAAGCCGTTGCAGAATTCCATAGTATCTTTGATTCTGTTGATTGTTTTCGAAGAATTGTTCCGGTTTGTTTATTATTTTGTGATCAGGTGAGTTTCAACTGAAGCTGATTTCTTGCGACTGTTTGCATGAAAATAGTGTTTTAGGAAGGCAGAGAGTGGCATTGAAAAGATAACAACATCTGGTCATTCTGTTGCAGTTCAAGTTCACTCCCTGAAACACTCCAGACATGCAGTGGCTTTAGGTTGTCCTTTAAGCTTCGATACATTTAAACGATTATCAAAATTTTGCATTCTTTTAGTTTGCGGCCTTGGTTTCGGAGTTATGTGCGGTGCAGTTCTCCTAATCAACGTTCTTGCCGACAGTTGGGGCCCTGGGACCGTTGGACTTCCTGCATCAATGGATCTGATTCACAACACGGGAACATATCTACTCTTTCTGACATCTGGTGAGTGTTAAGTCGTAGTGTCTAAAACAGGTATTTTGGCTTATCCACAGTTTTATGCTCGCCTAATCATTTGTGATCATTTACGAGTATTTGCTTTGCAGAAGTATAAGGAGGTGCCTAAAATCATGCTAATTTGCTAGTAATTGTATGGGCATCATAAGCTTAAGTACTGCAGCCTCTGGTGTAGAGCGTAGAAGGAACATGACGGGCGCGCACAATGATTGGTGTTTAATGACGGTGATAGTTGGCCTAAAGTTTAAAACTATGGTATTTTGATTAATGATATAACTGGCTACCGGAAACGTTAACTGATACTTGTATTACTACAATATCGAAAGATTCTATATGAGAAACTTTGGTCCTGTTCTCCTCGTTAAAATATTTTCTGGAAGGCTTTACTATAACAAGCTAGTTTGTATGCCACGGTACGGCTTTATAACTGTGTTAATCGTTTAACTAATGCGTGCGCAACAAGGCTGAGAATCGTACTTGACGCCAATCAGAGAGTATGCTATAGCCTGTTATACCCACAATCGAGGGCTACTATATGATAGTCAATAAATATCACCCTCATCATTTAAATATCTTAGAATGATTACGGTAGTTGTGATTCAGAAAATATGGTAGTTTTGCTTAGCGGCTGTACAGAGGCAATCTGAATATAGTATCGAGGGATTGGATAATTTTAATTAGCACCAAACTTACCATTAGCCATGCTGGATGACAACGTAAATATTGAAAATGGGTTTTGAGGATGTTCGGCTTGCGAGTTGTCATGACATTGATAGATGTTTAATATAGATATAGACTACTATTTCAGTCTCAAAATGTGAGGCGCTCAATTTTGATTAGTTTTAGAAT